TATGTGTACATGATATATCGGCACCACATAATCACCGTAACTTCTGCTTGCCTTGATACTTCACTAAAAGACGCCTATGTATGTGATTCGCGTCTGAAGACTGTCGCAAAGCTGAAATTTGGTCATAGCTCGACTAGATGTGGTTCAATCTTCAACTTTATCGAGAAAAAAAATTGCTCGGGTTGACTACGAAAATTCTAAGCTCCCAAACAGTTGAAGTTGAGGTGAATCGAGTACATGCCATTGCCCACACGACTGAGAAACATGACGTTAAAGTACTTTGGGCCGGGTGTCTGCGGATCTGAGCCGACTTTAGCCCGTCTATAAGTTACAAACAAAACAAAGACTAGTTGGCTCATCACACACTGACCTTCTCACCTGCATAGTATGGGGCACGGTATCGGCCGGTCAGGCGACATCTCCGCGCACCAACCCAAGGCCGCGGGGTCAAGTCTTATGTCCAAGCTAACGCAGTACTTTATGCTCGAAATCCTTAAACTCTCGGGGGCGACGCGTACTAAATCTTGCTATGTGTTCCCGCTTGCCACGGGTATGGCTGTGGTTATGTGTCTGTTGGCGTTGAAGGCCAAGAACCCAACCGCCACACACGTGGTATGGCCCAGAATCGACCAGAAAACCTGTCTCAAGGCTATTGTGGCCACGGGATTTATCCCTGTCGTCATTGAGAATATCACAGAGGATAATGACAAAGGTACGCGAATCCTTGACAAGGCTGTTTGGACGTATGTTGCGTAAGCCATAGCCATGAGAGGTGCTGGCTAGGTTCTGGTTTACTGTGATATGGTGTGGGCATTTGTTAGCTCTACACCGGCTCAGTTACATATTGACTTTTCAGACCATACGATTCCCTACTAATGTATGCCACGCGCGACTCGCGGAGTGGGCTATACGCTTTTGAACATTGATGGTCTATTCAAGTTCTAACACCTTTCCTGGCGTCACTAACCGAATACCAAATCTGGCTGGCATGTGAATCAATCCGACTGGGTTAGGTACGGCGTTTAACACAGTTTGAATCATGTAACAAGTCATATCGTATGCTTCCAATCATCGGACAATGACTAATATGTTCCTGATGCCATTCATGTCCACAGACTTTTATCCCAAAAATTTATCTCTCTCATCGACTGAGACTTAAGTCTACCTCGTGTCGATCCCCTCATAAACGCCTCGCCTTATTCCTACCTGCAGGGCCACATACCACGGATGAGCTACGCACTGATCTCCCAGCCATAGAAGATGCCATCAAACGTGCGGGCGGGCCCGAGAAGGTGTTGTGTGTCCTCTCTACTACGAGCTGTTTCGCACCCAGAGCGTTTGACAAAGTGTCAGAGATCGCAGTCATGTGCGAACGCTTAGGGATCGCCCATGTCGTGAACAATGCATACGGTGTCACGTCGTCCTTGATCATGCATCATGTCAATGAGGTATGCCTAAACATCTGTACTTGATCATGCATCATGTCAATGAGGTATGCCTAAACATCTGTACCGTATCCAGTTTCTGGCCCGGAGCAAAGCTTTTCGTCGGGTAGATATGTCAGATATAATACGTTCCTGTGGTTGAGTATAAGATGGGCATACCCCAAATTGAGCTGCAAATGTCTGTCTGACCTCTGAATCTATTCACTCATATTCTCACAGGCCATGCGGTTGGGTCGAGTGGACGCCTATGTGCAAAGCACAGACAAGAACTTCCTCGTGCCAGTGGGAGGGAGTGTCATTGCCGGCCCTGACAAACACCTCAAGGTGGCGGATGTCTGCAAAACATACCCCGGCAGAGCTAGTGGCACCCCTACTCTGGATGTGTTCATAACGCTACTCTCTATGGGCTCCAATGGTTACAAGCACAGACTGCTGCAGAGAAAGGAGATATATGAGATCTTGAAGCAGAAGATGAGTGAGGTGGCGGCCAAACACGGGGAACGCTTGCTCCACACACCTCACAATCCCATCTCGCTCGCCATCACCATCACACCCAGGCGTCGCGCTAGTAGCCAGACTGAGGTGGGCGATAGGGATGCACAGGAGCCCGAGAGTACGAGTGGTACATGGGATACAGTAGGGAATGGTATGGAAGCGCTCGATACCAGGCAGGTAGAACCAGATTCGCACACAGATATAGATACGGCGAGCTCATCCACCAGGCACGAACTAGAAAAGCATAAAGCCTTACATGCGAGCCACAGCGGAGGTGTACAGGAAGTACCAATAGACACTATCACATCCTTCAGCATGCTGGTGGCAGTCAGCGACGAGACGGAGAACGCGAGTTCTCACACCCCAACGAAGTCTCACCGGGAGAGAAAGGAGAAGCTAGCAACAAACGAAGGTAGTAGCATAAGCAAGACCAGTGCACAACACTCTGCCGCGAGATCAGCGCCTCGGCCCATCAATCCTCACCCAGACTCAGATGCCACAGATGTGACACGATTGGGTGCCATGTTGTTCCGACGAGGCGTTTCAGGCGCACGCGTTGTGAGTGCGGATGATGTCAAGGTGGTGGCTGGGGTTTCGTTCAAGGGCTATGGGGCTCATGCAGACGCGTACTTCACGCCGTACCTGACAGTCGCGGCAGCGTTGGGCATGACCAGGAAGGATGTGGAACAGGTTGTGGAACGGATAGACAAGACATTGACTGAGTACTTTGATAGTTAAGTTAGTTAGGCGGATGGATACTCAGAATACTCTGGTAACTAGGTCAATGGTTCAGGAATATAATACCCACGCATACGAGTACCTCCCACTATGCTTGATGGCCGCTACTGCGATGGATATGACTATTCATTGGGTGCAGTAGATGGTGCAGCAAGCACACAGACCGCAGTTTGAACAACTCGATAGTTAGGCGTCATTGATTCGTAGGATGACACAATGATGAGAGTGCAACTGATTAGAGGTGGCCGATGTTTGATCGAAACGGATAGAAATTTCGCTGGGGGTATACTTCCGACAATCGGGTTAAAATTGATAGACTGCATGTTGGGTGCATACTTTAATATCGTAGTTCGGATAAAAGGGATTTGTGGGTGTGAATTTCGACAGCCAGGCGTAGTAGATGTACGGTGTTTCCGACGCCTTTCCTAGTAGACTAAGCCGTAGTCAGAGCTGGGAGTTGGCCTACGACTTCTACCGAAAATTGCTCTATATCAATTGTCCGCAATCTACTGTCACCGGCCCGTGTCGTTTGTGTTGTGTCAAGGGCGATATCTTCAGTAGATTCACCGCTGAAATATATATCTCAAAACCGCCCACGGACTGGTCGGTAACGTCCAGTTGCTACACAACTACTAGTTGAATCGACGAGAATCACTGCCTAAGCAATATGTGAGGCAGAGGCATGGACATCCTAATCTTTCTCATAATCAAAATGAGTCCAGCGCTGATTGTGAACGGCAGTTGGTCGCCGGCTTGTGCGTACGTTGGCATTCAAAGCCGCGTTGCATCCCGTGAGAAGACCATCGCCATGTCAATCAGGGTCGCCAGATCCTCACGTACACAAACACCTGAACCCGTGCAGCGCTTCAAATGTGGGATTATTGATGGCCTGTAATTCGAGCTCGTACACCTGAGTGATGGAACGACTGTCAGGGACACGGAGTTCGCACTAAGATGTGATCTCAATCAATTTAGTAAAGTAGCAAAACAGTAATCGAATGGTGGAACGGAATTAATGTGTGGCATAGAACTAGTTTCACCGTGACGTCTGCTGATGAAATAATCGGTGCATACTGAAAGCCACATACACGCCATAGTCATAGAATCACAGATAGTTCGCATGATTCGCAATGGCTCTGTATAATCAACGGTCACACTTTTACGCTCAAATAGTATCCGAAAATTGCATTCCATTGCATGCACATAAACAGACATGTCGTTTGTAATAGTACCAGATGATTCTAACATCTTGCAATTAAACAACCATGCCGTTTGAAATAGTGCCAGATGATTCTCACCTCTTATAATTACATCGTTGAGTATTTATTTTCGATTCAGAAGTCATCACAAATCCAAACCATTCGTCATCCATTGCTACGCGAGGCCATGCCGACAGTCAAACGGTCTCAGTTACCTTGTCCGTATGCGAGCAGCACATTGCACAAAAATTTAAATTTTGTCGACACATGAGCAGTCCATTCTACTGGTACTTTGTACGCATGTTAGTGCTCCGTACATGCAAGCACTGAGCTTATATTCATTTGAGTGCAGCACTCATGTGCGTGTTGTGCGATACGCTCCTTACAAGCGAGTCTTTAGCTTTAGCTTATATTAATTTGATTGTTTAGCAGAGTAAGGCGTTTCATCTATTTCGATAGCTCGAACTCGACGCCTGGGAACTCGTCTCTCACGGCATCGGTGATCTTACTCTTCACCGCGCGCAATTTCTGCAGAGACGGGCACCCCTGGAAGAATCGCATATGAACCAATGTAAGACCTTCAGCTGTTGCTACAGTGACGAGGCGCAGACAACGTAACCTCGCCTTAATCTGGTCATGCGAAACAATGGGGCAAGCTTGCAGACTGTGTTATGCTTGCTCTACATCGATATTTGACCGTGAATATAATATGTAGGACAAACCCTTTGAAGCTCTGCAATCAAGTACTACAATATAAACTTTGGTACTGCTTCAGCGATATTATCGGAATCTCGTGCGCAGCAAGTTGCGGTTCAAGCAATGAAACTTTGCATAGTCGTCACGCTAGTCTTTGGGTGTGTGCACGTATGTGTACAATACAATAACCATAATTCGAACATGTCATATCAGGGAAGAAAGATCTACACAAACGCCTACTACTATATATCAGAAACTGTTGCCTCATTAGATATCGATATACTATATACAAAGCCGGGATGTGTTTGTATGCATCTCGAGAAATGAAGGCAGATATAGTATACGCATTCCATTTATTCTATTGAAAGACTATTAACCATTCTCTGCATAATCATATCGGGACATCATCACCATATTGCGTATTACTATTAGCAGCACAAAACGCATGTATATGGGCTGGAGCCACTCACATACCAATAATAACATAGAAAGCCCGTTATCCGTGATCCTCCGACATCCAGAGACATCCAATACTTTCAAATTGATGCAGCCGCTGTTAAGTTGATAAAGGTGAGACATGGAGATCTAAGAGGAAAATATATACGGACAACCCTCTCTAAGATATCTGGACCACAGGTTTGTTGTCTTGAAATCTCACGCATATTCTTTTAAACCGCACTACTGAGCGAACAGATATGTTTTCCAATACACTAAACTGTTGTTACCGAGTTCTATTTTATATTCATAATGTCAATGATTCAGCGCAATCGTTCGACGATACAGTGCCACGCTCGCCCACTACATCCATGCAAAGAGCAGCGCCTGAATAAGATGGTTGTATGATGTTGCTGCCATCAACCCAGTCACTATTAAATATTGGATCGTCTGTCAGGGTGTGCAGCCATAATAAGTGGTGATGATTACAGGCTACATTGCAACACACATCACACGGCGGATACCAGATTACTGCAGTAGATGTCCTTCAGTGCATAACACGTGGCGATGCATCGGACAGCAGAGTGGGCAACAGATAAGCTTGCTTGACCGACAGAAAAATGAAATCCCGAGCATTTATAGCAAATATCCATATACACACGGGAGGCGATACAGCAGGGTGCGAGAGGTTTATAGCCACACACATGCTAAAAGCAACCAAATTTTACGAAGGTTGCATACATGCGTGAATATACTCACATGTACGCCATCAGAAGTATAGGCCTAAACGCAACCAGAAGAGCACTTGATTTCACCCCATAGTGACGACCCACCGCTACATAGCAAGGTGCAAGCATGGCAATAGAAATGGTACGAAAGTAGCTGGGGCCAACAGACTCTCTGACTCCACTCAGAGCAGCATAAGGATGGCTGCTAACAGCCAAACATACCCAGCTAACTCCCACAGCCCCTTATCATCCAAATTCGACATCAAAGCAATATCTAGATATTCCAATGAAGTCAAAGTACCAATAGCCGCAAGGCCTCTTGCACCTATCTGACGTGAATGGTATAGTGGGGTCTGTCAACAAAGCGTGTAACGCGTGCAGTCTGCAAAATTACTAACATTACTGACGTGAGGGGACCTGCAAGAATGAGATGGAAGAGTCATGGTGAAGGGCCCCTCCTACGAAATGGCAAATTGATAACTATTGCAGTCAACACAACGAAATGTTCATTCAGGTACTGACACTTGAGCAAACTCAAATTAACAACCTACATCGACGATTTACAGGGTGGATTGTAGTACGCAAGTTAGGCACTCGATCAATTCATACGAAACTCGTATAACACGCGCTAAAACATTAGCACATACACAGGTTAAAGCATCAGACATGATCTATGGAATACTTCATACTGGTCCGTTGCATCACTAAGCCAGCTTTACAATATGTTTTACCCACTGGTAGCACCCGGTTAATACGCTTTCGTGGACACAAACAATACAGTGCACAATACTATTTTTCTCGCTCCGCCGAGTACAGAACCGATTAGTTCTAAACAGGTTTTAGCTGCCGTGAACTTCAGTCTACGACAAATCCCTCTAACACTAACCGACTGACAATTGCTGAGTCCCAGGAAGGAGATGGCGGGGAAACTCTTGACCAGGTGAACAAGAAAACTATCGGTGAGCTGGGAACAGTTGAACAAGTCAATATGGTCCAGTTCTGGCACAGTCCGATTGGATAGAGCCCTCGTAGCCCCGTAATCCGTCAGACGATGACATCCCCTCAACGACAACACCCTGATGCAATACACAGTACCAGCACTTGATCAGTATGAATTGGCGCATACAAGTATACTACCACGCTTGATGCGTTCAGTTTCATTCAGCGTGAAGCACGAGTTGGTGCAGTCGCATACAACACGGAACGCGTACATTGACTGAACACAGCGAGGGATAGGAAAAGAGGTCGAATCGTGTGCTTATCCGTCTACTGAGAATCGAACACTTCGTGGTCGCTCCTTTCGCGTCTGAACGCTTGATGCCTCAATTGGCTCGAATTTTGGAAACTATACGATTGAAAAGCCCTGAAATACGTGATTCAAGCCGCATATAAGACAGATTGTGTACACGCATTGAGGTATATTCTAACATGCACAGAGTTCGTCAACGAGTGAATGGCAGTCGGCTTGCATGCAACTTGCTACTTTAGCCAAGCTATGAACGAAGGAATGTCAGACCTTACCTGAGATGTGGGAACGCGCGCACTAAATATTTTAGACACTCGTCGTGGCTGAATCTCGGAGGTTTGAGAAACCATTCTGTTCTTTGAGCCCTAAGGATCGAAAACAATATTTTTAGTGAACCCCAATTTATTCCAAAAAAGCATGGGAATCGTGCAGAGTCGAAAGCTAAGCCTGATAGACATGGTAACACCTTCGACCCTGTAACATACATAGTATCGTAATATTTTGATCAAACTCGCAAAACGGTGACACATATAACACGGGGCAATTAGTAGCTAAATTTTGTCCTCTGCATATAAACCCCTCATTGTGGCAACGAATCGCTCAAAGAGCTTTCATATGTGAACATACCACACACACTTACTTTACAGCTAGATTAAATGATCGACAGGTGCCTCTGAAGTGAGTAACATCCCGTTGTCTCAATAGTCCGCAAATTTTCTGCCAAAGGATTATAACTGAAAATGAACACAGAAGTTGAGAAACAAAAGCGCTGCACTCAATTCTAAAGACGCAGATCAAATTTTCAATAAAAAAGGATCAATAAAACATCTTAGTGGTTAAAGCAATTAGACCTTAATATGAACGGATGTGAATGACAGATCATAACATATCGACAAACGCAGGAACATTAGACAATTGCCTACATCAGATGGAACCACAGGTATGAGCAATACAAACCGAAACTCGAATGATAGGAGAATATATATATACATATATATATACATAAATGCATAATTATATGCATGAATATAATACATATGTATATATATGTAAATATATATATATACGC